TGAATGCAGGCATAAAAACATCACGCCAGGCAGCAATATTGGCAGTGTCAGGTAGGAATAAAGGCAATAGGCATTATTGCCAGAGGCAAAGCATTTTGTTTCAGCAAAGCAGATCATTTCCTCTATATCACTTCCCCTTTAAGCAATGCCCACTAGAAAAGCTACACTTTCATGGACATTTATCAAGCATCCTTGAAGCTTTTTCAACACTTCAAAAACATAGCAAAGACACATCAAAAACGTCATATATACTATGGCGCATGAGCATTGCTTCATTTTCCATAGTGAGCACACGTGTGAACGAGCCCTTGGACAGGCTTGGTCCAAACAAACTATTAAATTTAAATGAAACCTGCAGATCAGCTTTAATACATGCATACATTTAAAATAGATCAGCAAAATAATTACATTGAGTTTATTGTTCATAATGTTATTCTTCAAATGCCTTTTTGTGAATATATGGTTTGGTTAGCAACAAGTTTGGGCATTTGTAAAATTCAGCTGTGTTGAAGCTCTACTTATCACAGGCATTACATGATACATGATTGCATGAATAATTGCTTGCTTTCTCCCTGGAGACATTACACTCTGGAGCAGCCATATTTGTGTATATTCATGTAATCTCAAACTGCAAATAGAGATGTTACTTTATGACAGTGGGTTGGGTCAGGCAGTCAATTCCTACATTTCGGTCCATGTCTGGGCAACATGGTGGTACAGAAGTCCATCTAGCATTTAACTTCTGTACAGTGATTCCTCCATCCACGTCAAATTTGTAGATGGGGGAATTGGCCCTTTTTTTTTTATTTTTAGTTTAGCCCGCTGGTTGAACAAAAAAAGGTATGATGTATGGCATGCCTTAGATGGACATGTAGTCTTCACAGGGCTGTGCTTTGTAAAAAGCTACAAAACGTTTCATACGATTTCTTAAAGATGTCAAGGGTTTTTCTTCCTTTCATTTGTATTTCAATGGTTTTTATTAATTTTATAACAATTAACACAGGAGCAACAAATCACGCCCACGCAGGGGCTATCAATTGCACATAGAGGAACTAGAAATTAGAGAAATCAGTGCTCTAACACCAACAGGGCAAAAGATAAGCCCACGCAGGGGCCATCAATGGCACTTAAATAACAAAACATAAATATAACTCAGATAATAACCCAGACTAAAGGCACCTATCCACTGCTTCTTCCTTTCATTTAACACTTAATTTACAACTAGCAATGGGTTTATTCTATGAATTATGTTGTGACTCTAATATTTCTACCTTTTAGTCTGCTTCAAGATAATAGGTATACAGTCAGATAATTTGTCATTCTGTGCAGTGTAATTAACATGTTTAACAATGTTGAATCAGGGAGAAATTGTACTGATGTTACTGGCATTTTTGTACTTCCATTAGTAATGTAAGCAACCTATTGACATGCAGTCAGAATTAATTAATAATGCTGACCTCCACCTGTTTTTGTTTTTTCCAGATTGAAGATTATGACCTAATAGCTTCTGTTATCGGAGCCAAATGCAAAAAGCTACGTTCTCTAGACCTGTGGAGATGTAAAAATATTACTGAAAAGGGGTTAGTAGAGCTGGCTGCTGGTTGTTCCCTTCTTGAAGAGCTTGATCTTGGATGGTGTCCTACGCTGCATAGTGGTACTGGATGCTTTACCAGTCTTGCCCGAAAACTCACAGGTCTGCGAAAGCTGTTCCTTACAGCAAACCGTTCTGTTTGTGACTCTGATATAGAAGAACTAGCTGCAAATTGTCCACATCTTCAGTATTTAGATATACTAGGTATGTAGTAGTAAGGTTACTGTGTATGTAAACCTGATTAAACAATCAGAGTTTGTGTTGTACCAAGGCTTTTTCTAATCAGTCAAATTCTCAACCTCTGTTACCTCATTAAAAAAAAAAAATAAAAATTTCTACAACATAATTTTGTATTTTAGCAAAAAAAAAATTAAAGAGAATGTCAAGGGTTAAAAACAAAGGTCTAGTTCAGCAGAAACACTCCGGCATGTGCATTGAATTGTGCATACCATCTATAAAGCATACCATAAAATGTCTTCTAAAATCATGTCACATGATAAACTATTTTCCTTGCTCCTATTTCAAACATTGATGGCCAGTTTATTAAAGCAGAACTTCACACTCTCAATCAACATTATATTCTTATTTTGGATCCAGTGATGTGATCACTGGGTCTCTCTGCTTCACTATGCGATGCAGGCAGGTCATGGCTGGTAGGAGGGACCAGCAGGGTGTTATACAAAGCTTCCTGCAAACTTTACAGCACCCTGTCTTAGTATTTCAAGAACCCTCAGCCCTGATGCAAGCAGTGAGTTGGCTTTTCGGATCAGCTATGCAGTCTGGAGGATTGCTGTTGCTAGACATGCTGCATTTGCATGCACACTGCCCCAAGGTAACACCGACATGTTACATGAGCATTCACGATTGAAAGAACTGAAATACAATGAATGAAAAAGTGGGGGTCAGGATGGAAAGGCAAGGGCTAGAGGTGAGGCTGGCTCCATCTGACTTGCTGCGACTTCAAAAGCCCATTATGAGTAAGAAAGTTCAGTTGAGGAAAAAAGCCTCTACAACTCTGTAAGTCTGAAGATGAGGCTGGCATTCAACTTGAAGGCTAATTTATCGTTGGGTGGAGTTTGATGCGTTAAAGCAGAACTTTTCTGTGACGTTTCATAACAGTGATCTTTGAGCTGGGTAGACTAATACAGTAACATTCAATAGGTAAACGAGTAATATTATAATTCTATTATACAGTATATTAATTCTCTTATAATTCTCATCTTCTGGTTACATAACTCAGTTAATCTAGAGTCATACAGAATTGAGAAGAAGTGAGAGATTTCTCTTTTCACTAAAGAGAAAATGTATTTTTATACACTCCTGCCTGATTCAGTCAAATTTTTTTTCAACTGAAAAAAATGGCCAGAGATGTTTGTGTATAGTCATAAACATGAGATCACAGACCAATATAGCCAAATAATGCTGGCCATGCCCTGCTTGAAAGTCGTCCGATTCCTGCTAAATCAGCCAAATTTCAAACTGCAGGGGGCTCTGTCAGCAATACTCAGCTTGACAAACTTCAATCTAAAAATCGGAAGAGCTGGTCAGAAAAGCTTCGGCCGAACAGTGACTACAACAACTTTCAGAACACAATAGCTGGCAGGGCAGATTCCTCTATACTATTGAGCATGGATGAGGGAATCTATTGATTTTTCTTTAATGCTTTAAACATTTATGCCAGTGAATAGGCAATGGATGGTGAGAATTACAGGATGACTCTTGTATTTCTGTAAAGTGTTATCCCATCATAACACATTAATTACACTGTATATTTTTAAAACAACATAGCATGAGTTGAAAAAAAATATTAGTCTGCCTTAGTATTTTAGGCCCAGGATTGAATTATTTAAAAGCTTTATTTTCTGAGCATACACCTTTCATTTCTTGTGTTTTTTTTTTTTTTTCTAGGTACTAGAATGGTGAGCTCCACAGCCTTGCGAAAATTGCTGGAATGCTGTAAAGAACTTATTCTAGTGGACGTGTCCTTCTGTTCACAGATTGACAGCCGAGTAGTACAGGAATTTACCTCACGATTTCCGAATGTGTCCATCAAAAAGAGTTTTACTCAATGAATAGAATGCTGCAGCATATTTTTTTTATTTTATAAGAAACATAGATCTTTTCTTCTGTTTTGACAACCGTGGCTCTTCCAGTCTCAGTAGTGTGCTCATTGGGAAATCTATTGATTTAGATTAGTTTAGTACAACATTTGAAATTTTAAGGGTACATCCAAATCTTTTGGCCTAAAACAGGGGTCTCCAAACTTTCTAAACAAAGGACCAGTTTACTGTTCTTCAGACTTTAGGGGGGGCCAGACTGTGCCCAGTGGGAGTAAACAACGCCCCATCTTTGGCATTGGGGGGAGAAATAGTTGAATTCAATGGCAGTAATAGTGCCCTATTGTTGGGTTCAGTGGCAGAAATAGTACCCCATTGTTGGATTTAATGGCAGCAATAGTACCCCATTGTTGTCAGTGGAAGGAATAGTGTCCCATGGTTGGTGACAGTGGCAAAAGTAATGACTCAAAGGCCAGATAAAGGCAAGCAAAGGGCCGCGTCTGGGCCCCCGGCCGCAGTTTGGAGACCACTGCTCTAAATCACACATTTGCTTACTATATTTCTTGGAGGTCTGTTGATGAAATGTTGCCGATGCTCCCAGGCTACATCATTCAATCTGCAACTTTCCCTATACACTAAAAGAATAAAATATTCAGCAAGGAGAGTGAAAAACTGAAGCTTAGAGAGATAACATTCAGGGGCCCTGAGAGATATAGGAAACTATTTGGTAGTTAAACATGCTGCTATCTGCCCCAAAATTATAAAGACAGTTTTGGCCTTTTATGACTATTTTGATTAACTATTATTTTCTGTTTTTAATAAAGAAAAAAAACAAGAAAGAAAATACTTCACATTACAAAATAGCACTCTCCTGTGCCTGTGTGGCCAATGCACACAAGAATTATTTAGCAATAGTTCTCTGTATGCCTTTTATTTATTTATTACTCCGATATAAATAATTCTTTTTTTTAATTGATAATACTAAGTTATACAAAGTGTATTTTAATTTTGCAAGTTGAATTTGCAAAATAATATGAAGCTTGGTGAGCTGGCACTGCACAGGCAAGTTTTGTCCACCACTTGAATGTGTGAATAGATTTGTATCTAGTGTATGCAATTTATGCTTGTTGATATAATGTGATAGCATTTAAAGTTTTTTTTATGATGTCCATGGATATCTGTGTATGATGCAGCATAAATATATATACATATAGGTTGTTTGGGAATGAACAGCACAGTGTGGCTGTTCATAAGTAGAGATTTTGATTTTTTTTTTTTTTTTTTTCTTGCTGCCTTCCACATCTTTTGAAGGAACATACAAACTTGTTTGTGAAGAAGCCAAGAGTAGATCGCACCTTACAGGTGCACTCTGGGTAAAATACAAAATACTAGTTATCAAGTCTGCTTTTTGTTTTTAGGAAGCAGTGTTTACATGATTAAGTAAATACAGTATGCATAATGCATATTCTTTACTGTAGTTTGTATGGAGTTTAGTGCATTTCTGATGTTTTGTAGCACCGAACAGAGGGAGGAATTCTTTTCAGTTTCTGTTCACATGTGAATAATTTACAGTAAAAGCAAAGTGCTGTGTATGTTAACCAATGGGTTTAAATACTGAAATAGAATTGCTTATGTATGTTTTACTAGTTATAAACGATGAGGGTCAAGCAAGCAGTCAATTAGTAATATCCCAGTATGTGGATTGCTGCGCCTCCTGTGCTGAAAAGGTCCCAACCTATTAATATTCTATCAAATAAATAAACATCCAAATTTTCATATCAAGCATTGATCAGTTCATAAAATTCAGTGTTCATAAACTGTAGTGCAAATAAATATAAATTATTATTATACAGGATTTATATAGCGCCAATGGTTTGCTCAGCTCTTTACATTATAGTGGGAGACAATACAGCTCAATACAAGAGGAATTTGAGGGCCCTGCTCCTTGGAGCTTACAATCTAGGAGGGAGGGGTGAATGGTACAGTAGGTAGTCACTGTGGGGGATGGAGTGGTTGGAAGAGTAGAGGATTCCAGAATTAGCAGAGGGTGGGATAGGCTTCCCTGAAGAGAGAGGTTTTCAGTGATCGCCGAAAGGCAAGTAGAGTAGGTGATAGTCTGATTGATTGGGGTAGGGAGTTCCAGAGGATAGATGGCGCCCTGGAGAAGTCTTGGAGACGAGCATAGGAGGAGGAGATAAGGAAGCTAGAGAGTAAGAGGTCTTGCGAGGAGCGGAGTGTGCGGTTTGGGTGATATTTAGAGATAAGATCGGTTATGTAAATTGGGGCAGTGTTGTGGATGGCTTTATATGTCATTGTTAGAGTTTTGAATTTTATCTGTTGGGCAACTGGGAGCCAGTGGAGGGATTGGCAGAGAGGGCTGGCGGATACAGAACGGTTAGTGAGGTAGATGAGTCTGGCAGCAGCGTTCATGATGGACTGGAGGGGGGATAGCCTACGATGAGGTAGACCAATGAGGAGGGAGTTACTGTAGTCGAGGCGTGAAATGACAAGGGAGTGAATAAGTTGCTTAGTGGTTTCCAGGGTTAGGAACGGTCGTATCTTGGAGATGTTGCGGAAGTGAAGTCTACATGATTTTGTCAGCGATTAGATCTGGGGCTGGAAGGACAGATTGGAGTCTAGGATTACATCTAGTACCCTGGCATGAGGGGATGGACTGAGGATGGTGTTCACGATATTTATGGTGAAGTCAGTGGGGGGTGGCGCGGGCAGGGTGGAATACTAGGAGCTCAGTTTTGGAAAGGTTGAGTTTGAGGAAGTGGAGTGACATCCAAGCCGATATGTCGCTTAGTAGGCTAGCGATGCGGGTGGAAACTGAAGGGGTAAGGTGAGGGGTAGACAGATTTGCGTGTCATCAACATAGAGATGGTAATTGAAGCCGTGGGAGTTTATCAAGTGACCAAGTGAGGAGGTGTAGATGGAGAAGAGAAGGGGCCCGAGGACAGAACCCTGGAGGACCCCTACAGAGAGAGAGGGAGTGAGGAGGAGGTGGCAGCGTTATAGGTAACACTGAAGGAGCGCTGCGATAGATAGGAGGAGAACCAGGAGAGAGCGGAGTCGCTGAGGCCAAAAGAGTGTAATTTTTTGAGGAGGAGGGGATGGTCAACCATGTCAAAAGCCGCGGAGAGGTCGAGTAGTAGGAGTATATAACTAATAATCCGTAAATGTCTCAATTCATAAAGTATGCATATATTTCTTCAAAGTGTCCGTGTTCCACCTCCTATGTTTACTTCAAAACATGCAAATATTGTGCTTGCCACCATCATTCAATGCTGCGCTCACCTCCACTCATATGGATTGAGTACATTTTTCTGATTATTAGGTATTAATATTTGTATATACTACAGTTTGAGCACTGAATTGTTCAATGCTTGATTTGAAAATTTGGATGTTTATTTGATTGAGCAATAATAGGTTGGGATCTTTTCATCATGGGAGGCACAGTAATACACATACTGGGATATTAACATTTTATTGTGGGAACACTTTTGTTGCTTTGCAGCCACCCCAGTTCTACTGAACACTAGTACTATTAATATTATTTTAGTTATATAGTCTGGAAAGGCGTGGGGTAATTACACATTGCACAGTCAATAAATAATAAAATTAAATTACTACTTAAGGGAGCCTGTGAGGACAGAATATGGGATCTTCCATTTCTTATTTATTTTTTAAAAGGTACATTGTCCAGGGCTATCATACTGATCCTGGCTTCACTACCTAGCAAGTCAATAAACTGCTATAGGCATTCATAATGAGAGTTTTGATTTCAATGACTACATGCTTTGTTCCAGTTCAGTGGCTTGATAGACGGTATAGTTAGGATCAGAATGACAGATCTGCGGCTTTTAAAATCAGTCAGCAATGGTTGTTTTCAAGTATCTTTCCTCACAGGTGTTCTTTAAGAGATATGTAATATTATGCATCATGTATAGGGATGATGTGGTTGATATATAAAATTTATCAAAATATGCATGGATACATTGCACAACTAGTCTTTGGAGAAATGCATACTGTATTTGTGGAACATAAGACACACCTGTAAAGTAAACCTGTCATGAGAGAAATATAAGGGCCTCTATTACTGAACTATTTCTGAAAATTCTAGGTGCCTGGCTCTCTCTGGCTTCACTTCTTCTTGATCACAGTCCTGGATTAAATAAGTAGCAAGCAAGAGTCAGATAAAAGTAACTTTTCTTTTTTATACTTGTATAGGTTAATTGCCTATATGTCTCTCGTGATTTGTTTCCTATAAGACCCATTGGGCCTAAAATATTTGGTACTGGCAATCTTTGTTATTACCAAAATCCTAATTCCTTTTTGTGCTTTCCTTTTCATTGATTCTTTTCTTTTATGATCAAGATGGTGTATGTACGAAGGCTGAAATTAATTAAAATGTTTGTTGTACTAAGATTGCTTCCTTTTCTCTATTTTTATGTTTTGGAAATTTTCAGATCTTCATGTATCTATTTTTTTCTTCTACTTGTAGATAGTGAAGGTAGTAGTAGGAAAGAAAGAGCAAACAGAGTATATAAAGTGCTATAAATCAGATCATTGAGAAAAGGAAGCGAAGAAGAACACATATAAAGAAAATTAACATAGAAAAGAAAGGCTACAGAAGGTATACAGTGAAAGAAATAAGTATTTGATCCCCTGCTGTTTTTGAATGTTTGCCCACTCACAAAGAAATGATCAGTCTAAAAATCAAATGGTAGGTGTATTGTAACATTAAGAGACAGAATAGCAACAAAAAATTCAAAAGAAATGCACGTCTAACAAATTATGCACTGATTTGCATGTTCATGAGGGAAATAAGTATTTGATCCCCTTCACAAAACATGACTTAGTACTTGGTGGCAAATCCCTTGTTGGCAATCACAGAGGTCAGACGTTTCCTGTAGTTGGCCACCAGGTTTGCACACATCTCAGGAGGGATTTTGGCCCACTCCTCTTGGCAGATCCTCTCCAAGTCATTAAGGTGTGGTGGCTGACGTTTG